TTCCCATCTACATATAATTATAGAATATAATATCACAGATGATAAAAGCTTATTAATATATATATATATATAAATATATATGGGTTTTATAAGAGTTATGTTGTAGGAAAAGTGATTGTGTAATGTTATAGAGATTCGTTTTGCGTGCCTTAATTTTTTATTTTTTATTTTGCTTTAAAAGTGTGGGCCTCACAAAATGTTGTGTGTGTAGGAAACTTTTTGGTATCATGTGCCATGATAAATGCAAATCCCTATATATATATATATATATATATATATATATATATATATATATATATATATATAAATTTACATTCAATACAATATCACTTGAATACGTATTGTGTTTTTTAATCTAGTATTTTATCGTGCAATATTTTGATACCTACATTACAAGTGGGTCAATTATATCAAAACAAATTAACTTTCTTTTTTTGTTATATACACTATAAATAAATTTTAAAAAAAAAATTAACTTCCATTTGCTTTATAATTTTTAAGCCACTTTTTATTTGTATCGGTGCTATACACAAAATAATTTAAAAAAATTATAAAAAATTGAATAATTATTTTAATGATTTCACAGTGAAATATTATTGATAAATCCTTTTAATACAAATAATAAATAACAAATGTTTATCAAGAAAAGAACCATATAAGATTATCTGATCACACTTAGTTAATATTGGAAGAGTAATTACATGACTTTGTGAATATGATCAAAGAAGTCAAAAACAAATGTTATATTTTCAACTAATTAGTAAAATGTGAAAAATAAAACCTGATGATCGTTTTAAATAAAATTAGTATTGATTGATATGATTAAATTTGTACCGATTGATTTGGAATTTGTTAAAATTTGAAATAATAAAATCTTATGATCATTTTTTTATACATAATCTTATGATCATTTAACATTAATAGAGCATGACAGGGCACAGTACTCTATAATATCAACTTGAATTCAAATTTGAATTTGAATTTGCTTCGTTAAATAGGAGAAGATTATATTTATAAACTTTTTGTTTACAAACTATACTAAGTATAATCGGTCATACTTCAATCAAGAGTGTATGACCGGTCATACTTAGTGTAATTTATAAAAAAAAAATTGTAAACGAATCATTTTCTCGTTAAATATAATAGGGCAAGAAGATCAATCTTTTCCAATTTATTTAAAAATATAATTAAAACTAGTGGTATAGATAGATCTCGTGGTAGAAATGCAAAGAAGTGTTCAAGTAGATGCTTAATGGTAGAACTTTACAACATGCAAGTGAAATTTAATAAAGCAACAAATTCAACTGAAAATTATTTAAACTGGCAAGTGAAGGTTTTTCAGTAGTTTTTATGTTTTACTAACATGCCTTTTATATCAAAGTTTATTGATTTTTGTGCTAACTTAACTCTATAATATTTAATTATTTTATAAATAAAATGATGGCAGTAAGGATCAAACTCGTAATCTTATGATAACAGAGGTTCTGATATTATGTAAATAACTAATTCAACCTAAAAATTTAAGTTATCAAGTGAAGATCCATAGATAATTTTATATTATATCTTCGTCTTTTTTGGTTAAGAATTTTATATTATAATAGTGTCAAATCCATGGTTGTTATAACTTAACTCATTGCTAGTGGTCTCCTGTCATGAGCTCCTTTGGCCTGGGTTGAGCTTATTCTGAGAGAGAATGAGCATATCAATGTGGGGTATATCACATTTAAGGGGTAGGCTGTTGAGATATTCAAGTGTGATAAAGTTTCACATTGGTTGATAATGAATTAAGTGAAGTATATATAAGTGAAAAGACTCATTAATTTAATGTCTAATAATTTGAATTGAGATATTAGGGGTGTTCGCGGTCTGGATTGGATTGGTTTTGAAAGCAAAAATCATTTGATCCAATCCCTTCGGTTTAATTATGTAATCATCCATTCGGTTTGATTTTTTTTTAAATCCGATCTAATTCAATCCAATTTTATTCGGTTTGGATTGGATCAGTTTTTGATTTTTTGAAAAGCCTAAGATTTGTATGATGATTATTGTGCAAATAACATATCTTTTGTATGTATCGGGTTTGTAAAGTTTGTATTATGATTATTGTGCAATATAGAAGCATTGTACAACAAAAAGTTGAATTACCATCTTTTACCTCCAACAACAAATTTATAATATGATTGCCTGAGATACGAAGTAATTCAAATTTTTGTCCTATAGAGGAGCTGTTGTACAACAATAACTAATAAAAATATATTATGTATCTTACAAAAAAAAAAAAACATAACACAGATAAGCACAACCCACTTTCTCCAACATGATGGATTAATGGGTCTTGGATTTAGAATTTTGCTATATGATTTTTAGGCTATGATTAGGGAAATGCCCAAGTAGGTAAATGATAAGGTTGGAGAATCATTGGATCGGTTTGGATTAGATTAATTTTCACTAACCCATCCAAAAACCGATCCAATCCAATCGTTTGTGAGGAAATTTGCGACGAAAAGTAGTAGCGATGATGAAATTAGCGACGGAATTTTCATAGCAATTCTGTCGCTATACAAGTTTTTTCTCGTAGTGTTTTTTCGATTTTTGGTTAATTCGGTTTTCGATTCTATCATCACAGTTTTGATCGGTTGATGAACATCCTTATAAAATATAATGTCGGACTCGCTTAATTTAATTCATATAACTTAGGGTCCGCTTGGATGAACTTTTTTTTCTTCAAAAGCTGCTTTTTTTAAGGGAAAAAAGTACTTCTCGAAAAAAATCTATTTGGATGCCTGCTTTTAAAAAAAGCAGAAGTCGTAAAAAAAGCCAAAAACCTACTTTTTTCAGAAGTTAAAAATTTTAGCTTCTAAAAAAAGCAAAAGTCAAAAGCCAAATATTTTTTTTTCAAAAATCAAATATTTTTTAAAAATCTAAGTAACTATAACTTTTATAAAAAGTGCTTTTAAAATAAAAAAGTCATAAAAAAAACTTTTTTTACAAGTCAATATAAACGAGCCGTCGTGATTATCCTTTACTACGGGCTTCTTCGGCCCACCTAATAAACAACTCATATAATTTTTTTTTAGGGAAAAGTATTTATATTTAGAGCTACTAATAGTAATATACACACTCCGTACAACCAAACCACTGTACATGTCTCAGCTAACATGGACACTGTTTATTAGACTTCCAAGAAAATTGATTAATATTAGCAGATTATTTTATATTGCTGTCCCTCCACTAGCAGACTAGCAGTACATTACAGCTACTACGGAAGAATATTTTGGGAATGGTATAGTAATATTGCAGATCCTGCGTTTGCCCACTTTAATATTAAATATGTTTTTAGATTATAGTTTTTGTTATTGACGGGAAGCTCACCTTAAAGATTATTTGAATCGAGCCAACGAATTAGGAAGGCCAATTGCTATTTATTTCTTAAGATTATAGTTGTTATTTGAAGCAAAATAAATAATTTGAAAAATAAGATTTAACTGTTCAGGATTGTTCTTGCAAAATTAATATGGAAGAGATCACAATTAATTCAATAACAGATTCACACGGTAATAGATAGTTTTCAAGCTTGTTATAATTAATGACAAATTATGTAAGGACAAACTATAGGACAAATCTATTAGCTTTAAATTAATAAGGATTCAATTCAAAAATAAAAAAATAGAAATTGTGAGAAATTAGAGTCTCAACCTGTAAACCACTAGAATTGATCTAGTAATAAGAGATCTGGGTAATCTATATAAGATCATAGGTTCAAACCTTAGTGTTACCATTGTATCAAAAAAAAAAGAGGGGTCAATCTTAATATTACCATTGTATCCAAAAAAAGAATAAGAAAAAGTCCTGATGTGTCGAACTAAATTTAATCACATATTTAAAAAAGAGAAAAATATTCATCCTATCACATGAGATAAATTTATCTCCAATAACACTTTTGGGAATTGACATAATTAATAAGGGATATTTTAAAAAATTTACTTGTTTCTTTGTTATATAAATTTTATCAAAGTACCCTTCATTAAATCTCTCAACTTTCAAAACAACGTGGTATTGAAATTCATGAAGATAACTTTATCTCTTATAGCAAAAGAAATGATAAACCCTTTAAAAAATATATAAAATGGGTGAAATTAATTTGACATCCAATTTGAACCATTGATTTTCACCGATACGACAATAATTATTATTAAAAATTAATAATTAATTAATGATTATAATTCAATAAATTACAACCATAAGACGAAAATCAATGTTCACATAAGATGGATTTTTTAATTAACACCAATGTCAAACGATCCTGTCGCACGAGAGAAAAATGTAAAACTTAAAATAAAAATGAAAAAAAACTCATGGCACTCAATGATTATCAATTTTAGCTCAGATAACATAAAAAATTATTTATAAACTCTCTGATTCATAACTATCTTACTCTTATCTCACCCTTAAATTTTGATAAACCTTAAGTAATAACACAAAATACTTAGTTGTTAAGAATAGTCATATAAGGCAGCCAAAAACTTACTGACCAATAAAACTTCAATAAGAAATGCAATTTATTACCTACTTGCCCACTAAGAAAATCCAAATTGGAAACTACTGACATATTTCCAAAATAGCAATTTGGATTAAACTCCAAAATTATCAATCTTGTCTTTTTATACATATTCTACCATATATATTTAGTAAATGACCAAAATTGGAAACAATCTTTTGCAGTATTGATTACGAATTAAATAATGAACATTTTTAATAAACCTACCTAAGTTGTACCCAGAAGTATTTTTTTTATATATATTATTTTTCTATGTCATGTGCCAGTTGGACTAACACATCACTCACCATGTGTCCCTTGTTTGCTCCTATATATATATATAACCTCAAGAACTAAATCCAAGGCACACACAACATTTGCATCAAAGCTTTGAATATCCTCTCTCTTCTATCCAAGAAAAGCCTTATAGAGGACACAAAAGAGCCACATATAAATCTAAACCATGGCTTGTTGGTCTGCAGAAAATGCCACAAAGGCCTATCTCAGCACTTTGAAAATGGTTAGTATTCAAAAAAAAAAAAATTTCTAGCTAGAATTCTTCAACATTCTATTGTTAGAATTTTATCATAACAATCTTTTCTGATCAGAATTTGTGTTATTTTTCTTCAGGGTCAAAATGCAAAAGAGCCAGCAGTTGCTGAGTTTATATCAGCACTAGCTGCTGGAAACAATGCACAAGTAATGGTTGTGGCATGTGCTGGTTTAGCAGACTCTACCACACTACTAGCCCTTGTTGTTGCTGCTCATCAAACTGGTGGCCATGTTGTTTGCATTTTCCATAGCCATGAAGAGCTAAATGCTTCCAAAAATGTATTGGGAATAGCTGCTCCTCAAGTTCAATTCATTGTTAGAGAAGAAGCTCAAGAACTGCTTTTAAACCATGCTGATTTTGTGCTCATTGATTGTAACCTTGTGAACCATGAAGAGATTCTTAAAGCTGTTCAAGTTGGTGGTGGCAAGCAAAATGGCACAATGGTTGTTGGTTTAAATGCATTTAGCTGCAAAGGGTCTTGGAGATCATGTGGTTCAAAAACTCAGTTGCTTCCCATAGGAGAAGGGTTGCTTGTGACAAGATTTGGAGCAAGTGCCACTAGTCCAAAATATGGATTTGGAATGAGTAAGATAAGAAATCGTTGGGTTGTCAAGGTAGATAAATGCACTGGTGAAGAACATGTATACATGATTAGACATCCACAAGGAAAAGTGGTTCAAGCTTAAATCATATGGTTAATTTGGATGCAAATTAACAAGACTAGGATTCAGGCCCCAATGCTACTTATTCTCTATTTATTTCTTCAGGAAAATGGAGTGTTAGATTTTGCTTCTATTAAGAAGCACCAAGGTGTTTAGTCCAATTTTAAATGTATATAGCAAATTATAAACATATATTAGATACATTGGTTTGAAAATTTTATGTTTTGCAAATGGTCAAATGTGAAGAGAGATCAAAATACAACCATTACATACTCTTGCTCAAAGTTTATTGTCTCTGTGCTTTTTGTAACACATAAAAAGGACCACCACAAAATATGCCTATGCGAAAATTTTCAAAGTTACATACATGCAAATCTTAGAAATGAATTATATATCAACATCAACATCACCATCACCTTTAACCCAAGCTAAATTGGGATCGGTGGTAGATGAACCCAATGATAAATAAAAGGAGATTAAAAAATAAAATAAAAATAAATAAAAATAAAAAATCTTAGAAATGAACTATCTCTAAAAAAAATGGATTTGAAGTAAAATACCCAACAAAGTATTGGAAAGGCTTAAAGCTTTCCGGTTACCAGTTGGGTTAGTCCTTGTTAAATGATAATAAGTTTATGGGTCTTTCTAGTTATACGGTTCTCATTTGATCAATTCCAAACCATATGAATTTTCACTTGAATTTCCAACAGTACTTTACAGCAAAAAAAGAAATATATATATATATATATATATATATATATATATATATATATATAATTACAAATTAAATAATCTAGTTTGGCTTGGCATTTCATGCTATGTCAGCTAGTCAGCTTCTTATTCTGTGAAGTTTCTTCAGGTCAGCATTTATTTTTTACTGAATAGAGACAGAAATTTTACTGACTCAAATTCAGAATTGAACTTCTTTCCCACCTCCTTAAGCCTTATCCAAAATGAAAAAATTTGCACATTAATTATTGTAGAAGCTAAAGGCACAGAGCATCCATGTGAAAGAAATTTCCAAGACAGCCCCTAGCAGCAAGGTAGAGATAACAGGCTGTACATACAACAATAAGGGTACCTTAAGCTCATTGTTTTGCTACACTAATTATAATTAAAACCACCTTCTTGGGCTGTGCTACCTGCTCTAACGTGGGGCTTGTGGTTTTGTCTTTGCAATCACAGCAACTACCTTGATATAATGCTGATTGCATGGATATGTATACTATGGTATCAGATATCATGCCATAATATAGTAATAATTATACCCAAATAATTTAATTAGCACTCAACTACAACAATTGATGTTAGAGAAATATAACAAATTTCATAATATTTAATTTGTTGATAGAATTAGAGGGTGAGGATCTAATTTGTGATCACTTCGTTGCATAAATTAGGGGTGGCAAGTTTCAATGGGACCAGCTATCTTACACCCACACTTCAAAAAATCTGAAGTGTCGTATCCGACACTCCTCGATACCCTGACACTCTAACACGCTCCGACATCTATAATATTTGAAATTTCATTACATATCATGAAAAAATTGATCAATGTTTTACCAAACTTATATAATAAAATAAAAAATGGATACCGAATAAATCTCACTAGAGTGTATAAGAGATTTTCAATTTGAAAATATAATAGTAAATATTTACATCTTATGTTTCTTTGCAAAATTGATGGGTATTATAAATTTAGTTTTATTTTTTTTAAATTATTAAATATTATTCATAGTATACACTACATAAATTAAAATATTATTTAATATCAACATATGTGCTAACATGTCGAAATCTAATATTTTTTAAAATTAACATATCCGAGTGTTGTGTCAGTGTCGATGCAACATAGGGACCCACTAACACGACACAAAAAATTTGTATTCGGGTTTACCCGTTTTCAAATTTGTATTGTGTCGCGTATCAACCCGCGAATTCAAAATTGACCAACAACACTCTTCTTCTTTTTGGTAAAAGCATCAATCTTCTTACTCGCTATTTGTGTCATATCGTAAATAAATTATTCATGTCTTATTATGTCATGTCAATCCACTTGCAAGTTATTCGTGTCATGTCAGCCCGCATAATATATAAGTGACACAATATGAGTTTGTAGGATATTCGTTCGTGTAATGCATTGTATTCGCGTAGAAGGTTTTACCTGATTTCAAATTCATGTCGTATTTATTGAGTTTATTCGTGTTGATGTTGAATTTGTATCGTGTCGTTAATTCAACCCAAAAGTTAAAATCATTTGTTTAAAATTATATTAATAATTTTATGGATTTAATATTTTTACTTTTGACGAAGAACTTTTTTTTACTACCCTCGTATAAAAGTGAGTGAATTTCACTAATCTTTTCTCTATATTCTTTTTACAATAATTTTTTTTTCTACAATAAAAGTAAAAATATTTTCCCTAATTTTATATTATATTATCTAACAATTGATGCCACGTCTTTAGTGAATCACTGCCTCTATTAACATGTGATCATGTGAGGTCTTGTCCTTTGAAATTACAATCGTTCAATATGTTATTTTGCTGTATAAAATTACGAGTTGTTGCTACTTGCCACTTGCCAGTCCACAGTATTCCAAGTCACGAGTCAGCATGGCTAGTTCAGGCTGATTTTTAGTAATGCTGTGTGCGTTTGCTCATTCAAGGCATTTAATGTCAAAGTCATTATAATTGATGATGTAGCATTTTATAAAGTGAAGTCTATTCTTTTAAAATATTTTTTGTAACCCAAAAAAAAAAAAAAAAACTATTTTGTTTTACTTGAAATCATTTAATGCCACATTTTTCTGAATTATTTAATTCCACTTGCAATCATTTAATGAAATGTTTTTTTTTTTTTATGAAGGTAGTGAAATGTTTTGAAAAGGTTAGAGAAACTACTTTCAACTGATAAATCTAACAACAAAACTAGGACGACTTATAAATAAATCTTAAAAACCTTAAATATGTATAACAATAAAATGTTTTCAACAATATTATAATATAGTGCATAAACTATTCATGATGTTTTATATAATGCATAATCTGATGATTGAAAATTAGGTATTGATATAATGTCATTTACCTATTAGTCCGAAACAAAAATTTCAAATACCAAAGTGCTACATATATGTTGCTGGAGTTTTTTAAGTTCCAACAGTTTAGCTATTGAACTAAACTCAACGGTGTGTGATTTAATTCAATTATTATTGAACTGATCAATATATATGAATGACAGAGAGTAAAAAGACTTCTTTTACTCCAAGAGAGAATTGTAATCACTTATTGCACTCTTTAACTCTTGGTTTGTAAGCCAAGTAGGTTTTCCTAAAACGAACAAAATCACTAACTTAAAATTTATGATTACAGAGTTGATAAACAAAGGAGATGTTATATAAACATTTATTTTGTTGGAGATATTTCAATTGGTTCATCGCTTCGCAATAAGTCTGATTTGGGGCTGGTCCCGGTATTAAGGCTTTAAACACTTCCCAAAGACGATACTTGTTATGGGCCTGAGTCAAGCCCCGTGTACACGAATACCCAGACAACACAAATCCAAAGGTAAGGTCTATAAATAAGAGGTAAAGATCACATGGATGACTGATCTATTTTAACCTATTTCATGCAATCACACAATACACACACCACCCCCCTCTTGACTAAGGTCATCATATTGTGTGTCGTGATTGGCTACCCCCAAGATACTTAATTCATAGGTATCTAGAGAGAGCACCAGATCCAACATCAACCAACTAACCTTTAGTTAGACATCTTTGCCACTCAGGCAGAATAGTACTGAAGAGGATCGAATACATGCTCTCACCCTCACCTGCTTAGTTCCCTAGCGTCAACCGAACTACTATCGTTTGGTAAATAATTCTTTATACATAGATAGAAAAACTCACATCCCTTTTTAGATCATTAGATTATGGGTAAAGTGTGTGTCATTTTAAAGTATGTAAAGTTGTGCCATTTTAAGAGAGAGAAAAAGATAGATAAAGGAGGAGAGAGAGTTGACAAAAAAAATAAAGGTGCGGGTCTCACCTTTGTGTGAGAGTGAAAGGATATAAGTTGTGTCATTTAAAAGGATAAACATTTTTCCCTTAGATTATTCGTGTAAAGCACTGAATCATAATTAACTCAATGTAGGATTAAATAGATCTTAAGTTCGATTCTATTGGTAATCTTTCATTGATATATTTATAAGTACCATTATAAGTTCTCAATGAGACTCATATGGCATGATCTGGCCCTTGAATGGGACAATCTCCCTTCCCCTGAATTGATGGATCATGTGATGCTTTTCTTTCTTTCTTCCTTTTTTTAAGTAACCAATATCTAAGATAAGTTGTTAAATTATTTATTAATTATATTTATTAAATTTTTAAACATTTATAAATAAAAAAAACAACCAATGAAATTCTGACAATTTACTTCAAGTACGGTACAAGAATACCATAGCAACTCTTTCTAAATTTTTATTTGAAAAAAAAAAAGTAACAATTTTGTCCGCATGAATTCACATGCAATCCAATTATTTTGCCCATTTCCCATTGTTGGTGGTAAATATCACTTCTCTATTTAATTACATAAGTAGTAATTTATTAGGGGCTTCAATCCGTCGTGTTGTTTGCAAAAGAATATAACTATGTATTACGAATAATATATAATTATAATAATAAAAACTATTTTTCTCTCTTTCCTCGTAAGGCTGTTGGCTGACATGACAAAGAGAGAATTAATAATTTTAATATTATAATCATGTACTACCCATAATATATAATTATAATTTGTAACATAATTAAATTTTTCTTTCTATAACATGATTATTATATTTCCCAATTTCTCAACATGGGAAATGGGCACACACCAATTCTTGGATCATTGAGAGAACATCTAGTACACCTGTTGGCTGGTTGGATAACAACTAAAGCACGAACATGCTCATTAGAAAAAATTTTGCGTGTCGGACACGTGTCCATGCTCCGACATGCTTGGACACGCGTCCGACAAGTGATCA